AAGACTAAATATGAGTAATAATATAGATTAAAAATAGAATTAATTATAAATAAGATTAATTAATAAAATTACTTATTTGCCTGATTTAGTAGTGATCAGCGATTACTGTGTCACATGCTATAGCTGTGCCATATGCTGCGCCACGTCTACTGCGCCACATGAATAAGTGATTGGTTACAATATATAACTAAACTACATTTAAAATTAATAAGAATAAGATAAATTAAAATAAAAGTATTAATTAATTAAATTAATTATTATTAACTTCTTGTATTACTAATTTGAAAGTGATTATTAGCTACATCACATATTACAGTTGCATTATATACTGTGCTACTTTATTATGTCACTTGTAATAGCTGATTGATTATAATAACAAATATTTTATTTTTTACTTAAAATAAGTCAAGTATTATTTATTTTGATTTTGTAAGCTTTTCTATATATAAAAGCTTTTGATTATTTTTGATATATACTTTTTATTTGCCTAATGGTTGAAAAAATATTGTTAAAGAGTTTAGTAAGTGTGCTAAATCTATAATTTATAGTTTTTATTATTTTAATTAGATATCTTCTTTCTGTTATTTTTGTGATCACATTTTTCTCTTTGTTTATTTTCATTTTTGTCTTGTGTTGATACAATACTAGAAAATCTTTAAAATAATTATAATTCTCTTTATCTTTATAAATAATTCAATCTTCACCCTCAAAACTTATTATAAGCTATATTCCTGGTAAAACCTATCTTCATGAATATAGTTTGTAATAATAAGCAAAGTTCTAATATATTTATTAGTATAGACCAATCTTTAATAGCAGCTATTTTACTTTATTCAACTGAAATACCATCTGCTGATATAAAATATTCAAGCTATTCTACATATTATTAAATTATATCACATTTCTTCTAGTTTACGCGTTTGGCATATTGGAAAAATTTCACGCGTGTTGTATTAGATATTCTATAAGATACCCACCATGAATTGTACCCCCTCAATATTATATCCCCCGAACACAAACCCTCCACTTTAGAGTACCCGCTGCTGGACAACGTACTCCTCCGGGTACAAATCAGGTTTCAGCCCGTGGAATGAAACGTACTCGGGGTAGTCTAAACGGCAAATTACGGTACACCCTCAAAACCGGTTTCCCATCATGGAAAAAGTTGAAATGTTCTTCTCACCCTCGCCTGGTTTACTTACGCTACGATACCTCCAGTCTGTGCATTTTTCGGCTGGCTGGTCTGTAGGGAGCATTTTCACACTGCAAAATTTGTTGACAACTCTTTGTCTCCTTTGTCGCCTCTCTAACTTATTTCCATTTCACATTCTTTAGGCTTTCCCTTTCGCCTTTTTTTCCTCGATCTTAGCTATTGTATTTGGTACTATACAGTTGTGGAAAGGTGAGAATTATAACATCGATAAATCAAACTTCACGCTTTATATAACCTAAATACTTTCAACACAGCAATTAAACCTTGTTCAATAAGCAACACTACTTCTTCATCCAACGAGCAAGTATAATGTTATCCGGGTCATTCTAGCTTACTCTTGCCACATTATTTTTAGAATGTCTGAAGACTTAGAAGATTTCGTATCTACCCACGAGGCGTTTGAAAATTACAAAATACGTGATGGTGTGAAAAATCTCCAAATCAAGCTTGGATCAATCAGCATGGTTGGCCGGCTTATTATGCAGTTATGGATGGATTTGCGACCAATAGTCTTCAAAATAGGCGCAGAGATGAGAATTCTCGTTGTATCTTTCACTTCACAACCGTCACCGAACTCTACTGTACGCGACAATATTTATAATATTTTTCCCAACGCTTTCTTCATTTCTCCTCCCCTCCAAGCTCAACACTCCACTGCTCAACTAAATCCGATTGGAACTGCATGGATATTAACAAAAGTGGGAGTACGCAAAAGTGATTTTGGGGTAGATAATAGGTTCTTTTACTTTTGATAAGCAAATCTCGATCTGTCGGTCTAATTACATGTTTATATGTGATCGCATTATTTTTCACGTATAATTTTCTGCTATTAATAAAGCTGACTCATGAAGACTAGTATATGATTGCATATTTTTATATAAGCAATTCAAAATTTGTCCCGAAGTTGTAAGCTAAAGTCAATCTTAATTTGGAGCGTAAAGCGCATGTATCTTGATTATGTTAGTAGCCATTTTATATATATATTAATTCGATTTTCACATGAATCAGTATAATCTCAGAGTTAATAAAATTATTGGGATCTCCTCTATGAAAGAATTTAATATATTTTTCATGCTGTGTTCCCCTTGCAAAACCATAATGGTAATAGGGAATATCCAGTTCCAATCCAAGATGATGATTATATGTTTTTAAAAATTCTGGTCGACGAATATTAGAAGGTATTTAGTAACAATTTCACGGCATAATTCTTCATGTTTATTTTTGCAGTATGGACACCATGTACCTAAAACTTTTATATTAAAAAGTGGTGCATTCCATAAATGTCCATTAGTACATTGCCATAACAAATCTGAACGAGAATTAATAAATTTTTTAGAAAGACATTCGCCATTTTTATATGTGCGACTTTTATAGCATCTTCAAGGGTACAAGGCCTTCTATGCGAACATTTTATGCACCAATTTTTACCATGTATAACATTATTATAGGTTACTGACCACTCATGACCTTTAGAGCATCTCCATTCTAATAATTCTTTGGTAGCTGTACATTGAATAGAAAGACATAATCCACCTCTTTCTATAGCAATCTTTTTAGCAATTTCAAGATGAAAAGGATGTCGACCTATACAAACAGGACATCAAGTATTTTTATATTTTATTCTATCAAGTAGAGCATTATTTAAGGTTATTTTTAATCATATTAAGAATTAGCAAAGTTATATATATATAAACTTCTATTCAAATTCTACACAAAAATTGAATTGCATTTTAAGAATAAATAAAGAATCAAATCTAATAGATCTAAAAATCTCTATAAATTACATAATTATTTAATATATTATAAAATGGTTAGCATAAGTGAATTACATGATACTAAATGTAATGATGTCAAATGAAATGAATATTGCAAAATAAGATGTGTTAGATTAAATAAAACTTCAAGTAAATAGATAAATCAAATTTGATTTCACTTATAGTATTTCAAAGAGAATGATCTTTTATTTACTCAAAATAAAAAATATTTTAAAGCTAGAAAATTAATATTTCTTTTCAATACTAATTTATATATCTATGTAATTAGATTAGTAATTTGCTTCTTTTATGATTAGTTAATATATATTAAAGAATGAATCAAAAATATAGATAATTATAATTATATAAAAATGAAGAGATATTAAAAATTTTTATATTCTAATAATAAATACTATAAAATAAATACTTAAAAATTAAGTAAAAATCTAATTTTATATTATAATTTTAATAATAAGTATGTATTATATTAATATAAATTATAAATATAAAATATAAAAAAAGTTAATGTCAAAAAAATCAGAAATTTTAATTTTATTTATAATTTATTTAATTTATATAAAATTTTAAATATATATGCTTGATAATCTAGTGAAAAAGTTTACTTAAAAATATTTAATAGCTTATTTTAATAAAATATTTCATAATTGATATTTTTTTATTAAATTTTTTTTGAAAAAATTGATTATAAAAAATTTAAAATACTTTTTTAATCTTTTTTTATTTATTATTCAATAAATATTTATTTAAATTATATAAAATTTTAAATATATATAATTGATAATCTATTAAACAAGTTTACTTAAGATTAATTTACAAAATAATAATTAAATTTATTTATAATAATTTATTTAAGCTTTCTTATTATTAAAAATTTTTAATTTTAAAAATATAAATTATAATAAGATAAGTATTTAAATAGTTTTAAATAAAGTTATTTATCATATACTCAAATATATATTTAAATTTTTATATTATTTAAATAAATATTTATGAAAAAAATTAAAAATTCTAGTTTTTTTTGATATACTATATATAATTATATAAAAAAATTTATTAAATAATATTATTATTTCTTTAATCTATATATTATATAATTAATTAAATATTATAAATTAATCTAGTTTAACTTTATCATTTTATATATCTATTATAAATCTTTATTATATCTAATATTTTTTTGATATTAACTTGATAAAACAAGTATATATCTTAATTTTAATATTATTTTATATATTTTAAATTTATTTTTACAGATTTTTTTTACTTAAAATTATATTTAAAAGATAATATAGATAATAATTAATAATATTTTATAAATACTTAATTAAATTATAATTAGATAATTAGAATAACTATTAAATATATTGACTTTATTATTGATAAATTATTTTTTATATTTATAATGATATTATTTAGTATATAATTATAATTTTTAATAATATTTATAAGTTTTCTTATAAGAATTTTCTTATATAATATATTATTTTAATTTTATAAAGATAATTAATATCATAAGTAGTAAAATAATTTTATATTATTATCTTATTATCATCAAATTTAACTATAAGTTTAATATATATATTTTTTAATAATTTTTTTTCTTTTTTAATAGTATTTACTAAAGATAATATAGTAATTATTATAATATAATGACAAATAAAATATTATATAATTATAATTAAAGATAATATTTTAATTAATTATAACTTATAATAGCTAATCAGAAAATTATAATTAATTATAATAATTAATCAAAAAATTATGATTAAGTTATAATATTATCTTTAATTATAACTAATTATAACTAAAAATAGTATAACAAGTATGTAATGCTTATTTATTATCTATTGTAACATGTTGCAACTCCAAAATTTTATATGTTGTAACTAGTTGCAACTAGGTGATACTTTATTTATCATTACGTTGTAATAGTTGAGAAGCCATCTTTAGTTATGACTTATAAAATTTTAAAGTTATATATTATAATAGATGATAAATAAGTATTATTACCATTTTAAGATTATATGTATATAATTATTTTAAAATAGTAATAGTGACTGTATTCACGGTAGTTATTTACTTTTATAATTTCAAGAGATTATATGACTGACTATTCTTTTAATAAGATAATATATATAAGGTTTACTTCTAACAAAATATGTTTATCTTCTCAATAAGATAATTTATACATGTTTTACTTATAATAAAAATATGATTATCTTCTTAACAAGATAATATACATGAAATTACTTCTGACCAAAATGCTCTCTTAATAGAGCAAGAAGAAAATAAGATAAGATATAAGATAAAATATATGTGTTTATTAAAGAAAAA